AAAAAACCATTATGTATAAAGCACTAATTAGAGGTAAATGGTGTGCTGCTGAAGTTTTAAAATTGCTTGTTAAATCTGCTTACCTATATATTAATAGTGTCCTGAGTTGCTTATTTTTAAATAGTTCATGTTACCGACACTATTGGAATCCATAGCCTCCTGAAACTTTGTTTTTGGAATTACCTCATTGCATTATAGCCATGGCTGCCAATCAGTCAATCAATCCTCACTACAGAGTTTCTGAGGCCATAATCTGTATGGAAACAGATTACCTCATCTTTCTAGCAGCCCCAATGCTTAACCCATTGTGCTACCAAACCAAACTAGTTGTCACCGAGTCCATTCCAGACCCAGAGAGTTTCTAAGGCTGTAATGTTTAGAGGCAGCTTACCATCTGGTTCTCCCATGGAGTGGCTGATGGGTTTGGTTAGCAGTGGAATGCTTTAGCCACTGTGCTAGCAGGACTGTTTTCTATATAATGATCTCCTGAAACTAGTGGGAATAGGCCCAAGATCTTATAGAAAAAAAAAAAAGCAAACATAATCAGAAAAGGAAGTACCAGGGGCTCTTAAGCTTACAAGAAGAATTAGATCAATGCATATTAAAACTACCATTGTTTTTAAAGTTTTTTATTTACAAGCCAGATGGCTGAGATAAAAAACATCTGCCCATGGCACTGAGTCTTTGGTAAACTAGAGCCTCGCCCAAGGGAAATCTGGCAACAGCCATTGAAATGTAAAGCACCCACACCTTGTAGTGCAGCAGAGTCGGGATGACACAGGTGCATGGATATGAAACGGAACACTTTGGACAGGGCTGATTAAAATTAAAGTCCTATCCTTTAGATATGGGGACACGTCAGGCCCCTATGGGGTGAAAGCAGTTCTTTGCAGTGATGGGGGTCTCCTCTGCTATCTTAAGGGAAAACAGGTGCCAAGTGTGTGGGTAGGGGGCAAAAGAAAGGCCCTTCTGAGTGAAGATGCCCATGGGTTCTGGGTGAACAGTTCTCATATCCTCAGTCTTCACCTTTCACAATGCCCCACAACGTGCATATGCAGCTATTCTTAAAAGATGAGAATCAACTTGTATTAGAACACAGTGAAATGATTTGCATATTTTGCTGGGACTGAAAATATATTCTATGTCTTATTTGGTGACCTCTTGGGAAATTTCCAAATATTTACATTTTCTTTTTCGGATGTGAGTGAGATCACTGCCTTTAAATGGAGCAAATCAATGTTCTCTTTTACCTTTATGCATTTTTAAATTGCCTTGCCTCCGGAGTTCTAAAAATATTTGATCTGTTGGAAATAATGGAAGAAAGGGCTGGAGGGCGCCCTGCTGAGGCAAGCGTGAGTCAGTGTGGGAGAGAAGACATTTCTTGCAGTGCCTGCTATGAGCTCAGAGGCCTCGGGATTTCTCCGCTGCCTGGCAAAGAGGGCTGGCTTCTGGTTTCATTCGTCAGTCCTGGGGGGTCTTCTCCAGCCTTCTGGAGTTTGGGTGGCAGCAAATAAACTAGGGTGGAAGCCCCTTTTATACACTATCCTGCAGGCGCAGCGGTACTCACATACCAGAAAGGGTTTCCATTTGTATGATTTTTTTATTATTATTAGTTGGGATTTAAAACATATACCATATCATTCCACATTTCAATCATGTCAAATAGAATTGCACAATTGCTACCACAATCAGTTTCCAAACATTCTTTTTCTACTTGGTCTCCTTGACATTCTTCTCCTCTCCTCAAGGTAAAGTGAAAGAGGCAGGAAGCAACACCACTTTCTTCCCGTTTATCTACAGAACCCTTTTGTCTTCCCTCTTCCTACTCACCAGCTCCCACAGCAACTCCAGGAGATAAAGGGACAAGCAGCATGCCCCTAGGTCAAGGTCCTGGGCTAGGCTGTGGCTGCACAGAGCACTTGGGATGCAAGCACTTGGACCTGCAGCTCCATCCAGGTACATGTCCTCTTTCGTGCTGGTGCAGATCCCTCAGGCTTTTCTGGCTGGAGAAAACTAAGCTGCAGGAGGTGACCTATTCAGAAAGGCTCACCCGAGCCACCTGCTGTGGGCCCCTGTGCCCTGCAGGAATGGGACTCTGTGTGAGGTCTACGTGCATCTCTATCAACCTGGGCCCCTTGCTAGAGTCCAGACCCCACAGCCTGTGGTCTAGAGGCCATTCCCTTTATAGCCAGATACCAGCAGGGCTGCTTGGCCTGGCCTCACTCATGGCCTTTATTTTTTTCCTCATGAGGTACCCTGACAGTTCTTACACATACTATATATACCCCACTTGGCCAGTTCTTTGATAGATGGGCTTGTGTGTTAGTGTATTCCTGGCAGTGCTAGTGTACTGACCATAGCTGTTGTCATGCCAAAAGGACTTTCAAGAGGTTTCAGGAGGATAAAGTGTTGTAAACCTTTTATTTTGGGTGGATGACACATTGTCCAGTTTATTTCACATTATATATTCACTGTGTAAGTGGTACGGACATGGCAGTAAGGATCCGAGTCACAGTTAAGAACAAGGGAAGGAAGAAGTCTCCCTATGACAGGCCAAAGGAGTGCAGAGCGTGGGCAAGTATAGAGGTCAGGCAGTGCCCCAAGGCCAAGGCAGTGAGAGTCTGAGCCAGGGTGTACTAAGCGGCCTGAGCCCTAGGGCTCTTAATTCTGCCTGGCCTGGCTGCACATGTGGTTCAGAGTAGCCAGTGAACCCAGATTCAGGAGCACCCGAGCACCCCAGCACAGAGGTCTGGGAGGGTGCAGTAGCAATAACTCAGAGGTCTCACAGCATTGACTCAGCATTGCCTTGCAGGAGAACCGTACTCTCACTGAGGCGGAGGTGAGGAGGAGCTCAGGTCTAGCTTCTCTCTCCTTGATTCAGAGTGGCAGCCACTTAGTTAACCCCACACCAATCTACACCTAAGGAAGAGGTTACCATTTGAATATTCAAGAGCTCACTGCTTTTCATCAAATTCCCTGGGGAACAGAGGGCACAATGTGGTTGCCTATCACCTCAAAAGGCTAGGATTATAGCTCCCTTGCCTCACACAGGCTTAGAACTATGGCCAATGCCCACCTAAAGGCAGTGTATCAAAGCAAGGTGCTGAGGCTGGGTGACCTCTGCCCTCTAGACTCCAGTTCTTGGAGGGAGATACACTGGGTTTCAGTCCTCACCATCATGCCCCCCTCTCCAACATGCCTATGACAGAATTGCAGTGATTAAGAACTGAGCCTGCTTCAGGCCGGGGACAGAGTTCACAAAGGTGTCTGGCCCTGTTGAAGACGGCAGCCATTTGTGTGAGGGCATCCAGGACACATGAGTGCTTACAGGGAGGGTGAGGCAGCTCACATCCAGGAACTGGGATGCTATTTGTTGGTGGGGTCCTTGGGTTTGTTCAGGGAGTCGATGTAATGAAAAATAGCCCCCAGAGCCCAGCTGGTCTCAACGTCACCAATCTTCTGAGTTAGCTTGAGGAAACAAAGGGAGATCAGCCAGAGCCATCCTTGCAGTGGAGAACCAGTTAGGGAGGGTTGTAGCTTGCCTGGGCCATACTTCACAGGCATCTCCCGGAACAGGGGATCAGAGATGGGGGCAAGGGCCAGGGCATTTCACCCACCAAGGGACTGCTTCTCAGGTACTTAGGGGAATGGAGTGGTGGAAGGGGAAGGATTAGAGGAGCAGTTTGCCAGATAAGGCAGGGCTTCCCAGGAGCTTCCCTGACTGACTGAGGATAGGTGAGGGAGGGAGGAGGCAGGAATTGTAACATCCCATGGGACAGTGCTTCCCTGTTACATCCCTAGGACTCACCTTCAGTACTTTGTTCTCTGGAAACCCAAATTCTTGGAGCAGGAAGCTGATGTAAGTGAGGTCCATGCACACAAAAGGGCTACTCTGTGTGTGAGTCTCCATCGTCCGGCACACTGTGGAAAATATGAGGAGGTCCTAATCAGTGACCAGATGATACACTTTGGGGGGGTATGTGAGGGGAGAGGGTGCAAACAATTCCACCAACTCAAGGGGTGTCTAGCATGATTTATAGATAACAAGAGTATAGCTCAGGTTGGAGAGAGGTTGACGAGGAGTACCCAAGAAGAAGGTCAAGGGCAAATTCTGCAATCTCCTCCAAAGATAGTCCTAGCACAAGACCTTGGGTCCTTCAGGATGGGGATGGATGCCAAGGTTGGCTCCAAAGAACCCATTCTCATTCTTTACTACAGTCTGCCCAGAGTTCTCAGGGTTTGTTGCCTGAAGGAGGGTCATGGATGCTGTGTCCATAGAGAACAAAACAGAAATGATATAAACATTAGGAAAAAAAGTCACTTTGTGGGGGCAGGAACCATAGATGGAGAAATTGTGGAGAAAAATATATGGAGAAAAAAGTTTAAGTCTATAGATGTGCAAACTAGCAACCAAAAGAGCAAAGTATGCCTACTCTTCACTAGCCAACATGGTGGTTAGTTAAGTTTCAAAGGCCAGGTCAGTATTAGAGAATTGAAGTTATATGAAAATGGAGGATGATTATTATGCACAAGTGCTAAATTAATCATTATATCTTTCAAACCACTGAGAAATATGGTCCAGCCAAGCTTTTTATTAGTTTTATTATGATTTTTACTATTGTCAAAAATACAAAATATTAGATGAGATAGTCAATAAATAGGGAATAGGAATATTGAAAAAGAGACTTCGCTTTCACACCTTGGTAAAGGTGGTGGTGGCGGCGGTGGTGAGTGGGGCGTCAAGAAGGGAAAGTGAGCAGGAGGGTGGCAGGTTGCTGGTTCTGCCCTAGGATCTCCCCAGGGCACAGCTCTGAGCCTCACAGGATGTGCTGGTTGTGCAAGGTTTCCTGACTTCCTCAGACTCAGGGTCAGTCATGAATTTGCTGCTTGAACATCAGAAAAATGAGAAACAGAAGGCGTCTGCTCTTCACAGTGAACAACGTCAAGAACTTGGTCAGTTGGGAACATTGCTGCAGCCATGCGGTTAGGAGATGACAGACTTGGGTTTGGGTGGTACGGGTTGCAAAGTGCATGGTGAACACCTCACAGCCTCTTAGTGCTAGTTTGGTAGCAGAATTATTCATAAAATCCAAGAGGTTTTATCTTGGAGCATATCTGCTGTACTATTGGCATCTGTCCCATGTGGGGCCAGTCCCACCTGCCTTAGTACCCTGGTCTTTCCTACTTGTGGCTTCTCTGATCCTGGGAGGTTCAGTGATCACTCACCATACTTGGCTGCAATCTCAAAGTCTCCAACCACCAAGTCGCCTCCTTTCTCTGCATCTGTGGGACAAGAAACAGACACCTCATTAGCTTGAGAACCACAAGGCCCATGAAATTGTCAAGGCAGCGGTGTCAAGTGGGACGCTGGGGCAGGGGTTCTTGGCAATATGGAAAGTTCCCCAGGCTGAGGTCTAAAGTGGGGGAATTTGCTGAGAGCAATCTGTGAGATACCCTGCCAGCTGAAAGCCTACTCTTGTTAAGAGACATCCGGCACTTTGCTCATTGATGGAGGTCTAGGAGGTGGGAGGGTGCAGGATGGTCAGGCAGGGTGCTGAGTCCCGGCTTCCAGGGTCATCATACCCCTAAGGGGACACTCAACAGAGTCGCTGTCTGCACAGACAGAAAACACTTAACTAGAAGTTAAGAAAAATAAAAGTATGGGATTAGAAAGATATCCTGAACTCAGGAGTACATCTCAGCAACAGTATTCTCATATCGAACTCTCAAGTTTGAAGGAAAAAACCACCCACTTTTAAAAATAAAGGGGTTTGCTGGATTTCAAAGATGGCCCTGGGACAAACAGGCAACCTTTTTGTGGAGCACTGCAGGAGGGAGGGGCTGCAGGGCTCAGCCACCACTGGAGGGGAGCACAGAGAACACCTGGCTCCAAGGAGCTATAATTGGGTCCTCAGACACATCCCAAATTTCCATGTCTAGGAGAGGCTGAGGTGGGTTCAGGGCTGCACAACTCCTCTAGAAGAGGCTGCTCATTGTGTGGGAACAAATAGTCTCTGATTCTTCTTCAATGGTGGGCATTCACTAATTAGCAAGTGTTGGTCTTAAGGGATGTGGTTTCTGAACAAAGACTCAGCCCTTCTCCAGAACAGCTGTGATCATTGAGGAAGATTAACAGAGATGTAGTAGAAACATGACAGTATGTGGACAACACAAGGTGTGCATAATACGAAAGGAAAAGCCATGCGGAACCGTGTGGCATTGCTGAGCCCTGCTGCCATCCATCCCTCAGCTGTGTCAACACTTCCTGGGATCCCTGAAGGTACCCAGCCTCCTAGTGGGTCCTGCATTTGGGTGAGGGCTCACACTGACTGAGTGTGCTGTAGGTGACCCCTTAACCCAGCAATGAAGTGGGGTGTAGTGGGCTTAGGTAGCAGTCCTAAGGGTACTCCTAGGGTCTGGGTGGAGACTAGCAGGGTCCATTGGGCTGCCAGAGACCCAACTATTATGTATACCAGAAGAGGGACATGAGACTTAGGCTGAAGGTCAGAGAGGTCATCTTTTGCCTTGCCCTCACCCTGGCTAGGGTGTCCTGATGTGGGGAAGCTTTCTCAGAGTGGCCCCGTGGTTGTTAGATGCCATCAAGTTCATTCCGACCCATAGCGACCCTAAATACAACCCAATGGGAAAGTGCCCGGTCCTGTGTCATCGTGACAATAGTTTTCAGGGGTGAACACACTGATGTAGTCGCTGTGTCAGTGCAGTGCTACTTTACCAAGCACAATTTCTTTCTCCAGGATTTGGTCTCTCCTGACAACATGTTCAAAGTACAGAAATCTGGCCATCTTTCCCTATAAGGAGCATTCTGATTGTACTTCTTCCAAGATAGATTTTGTTTTTCTTTCTGGCAGCCCAAGGTACGTTCAATATTTCCTCAACACCCTAATTCAAATGAATAAATAATTCTTTGGGCTTCCTTATTCCATGTCCAACTTTCAGAAAAGACCGTGGCTTGGGTCCAGCACACCTTTGTCCTCAAGGTGACAGCCTTGCTTTTCAACACTTTCAAGATGTCTTATGCAGATTTACCCAATGCACGGTATCATTCCATCTCTTGACTGAGCATTGATCGTGGATCCAAATAAGACGAAATCCTTGACAACCTCAAACTTTTCTCCATTTATTACGATGTTCTCTATTGGTCCACAAAGTCGAAAGTCTTTGCATAATTCAATTAAACACCAGTAAACATCTTTCTGGTATTTTGGTTTTTTTAAAATTTAATTTAATTAAAAAAAATCATTTTATTGGGGGTTCGTACAACTCTTATCACAATCCATACATCCGTCCATTGTGTCAAGCACATTTGTACATTTGTTGCCATCATCATTCTCAAAACATTTTCTTTCTACTTGAACCCTTGGTATCAGCTCATTTTTTGCTCTCCCTCCCCCACCCTCCCTTCCTCATGAACCGTTGATAATTTATAAATTATTATTATTTTTTTATGTCTTACACTGTCCGATGACTCCCTTCATCTGGTATTTTCTGATTTCAGGCAAGATCCATCTGACATCAGCAATATCTCTCTTGTTCCATGTCCTCTTCTGAATCCAGCCTGAACCTTTGGTCAGCTTCCTGTCAATGTACTGCGGAACCATTGTTGGATGATCTTCAGCAACATTTTACTTATGTTACAGCAACATACATACTTATTTAATTATATCAGTGATATTTTTCTAGTTTGAGAATTCTGTTGGGTCACTATTCTTTGAAATGGGTACAACTATGGATCTCTTCTAGTCAGTTGGCCAAGTAGTTGTCTTCCAAATTTCTTGGTATAGATGAGTGAGTACTTCCAGTGGTTCATCATCTTGCTAAAACATTCCCATTGATATTTCATCAATTCCTGATGCCTTGTTCTCAGTCAATGTTGGGGTAACAGGAAGCCCCCAACACTTGAACAGGTCCTCAGGAATGACTTTGCAATTGTGGAAAATGATAGAGAAAGGCAGACTGTGGGGCACAGGGGCTCCTCATTCCATGTCAGGACTGAGAGAGTGAATGTATTTTCCAATGGGTATATTCATACAGCCAACATATAATATAATCAATAGGTAATATCATAACATAATAAACCAGCAATGAGGTGAGTCATTGTCTTGACTTAGTGCTAGTTGACTTCGAACCCCACTGAGCCTTCCACAGGGGATTGGTACATTTTACGGGGGTTGCTACATTTTTTAAAAAAATTGTTTTATTAGCGGCTCACACAACTCATCACAATCCATACATACATCAATTGTGAAAAGCACATTTGTACATTCATTGCCCTCATCATTCTCAAAAAATTTCCTCTCCACTTAAGCCCCCAGCATTCGGTCCTCATTTTTCCCCTCCCTCCCCGCTCCCCTCTCCCTCATGAGCCCTTGATAATTTATAAATTATTATTTTGTCATATCTTGCCCTGTCTGACATCTTCCTTCACCAACTTTTCTGTTGTCCATCCCTCAGGGAGGAGGTCACATATAGTTCCTTGTGATTGGTTCCCTCATTCCAACTCACTCTCCCTCTACCCTCCCAGGATCGCCACTCACACCACTGGTCCTGAAGGGATCATCCTCCCTGGATTCCCTGTGTTTCCAGTTCCTATCTGTACTAGTGTACATCCTCTGGTCTAGCCAGACTTGCAAGGTAGAATTTGGATCATGATAGTGGGGGCGGGGAGGAAGCATTTAGGAACTAGAGGAAAGTTGTATTTTTCATCATTGCTACATCGCACCCTGACTGGCTCGTCTCCTCCCTGAGACCCCTCTGCAAGGGGATCTCCAGTGGCCTACAAATGGGCTTTGGGTCTCCACTCCGCACTCCCCCCATCATTCACTATGGTAAGATTTTTTGTTCTGATGATGCCTTATACCTGATCCCTTCGACACCTCTGATTGCATAGGCTGGTGTGCTTCTTCCATGTGGACTTTGTTGCTTCTGAGCTAGATGGCTGCTTGTTTACCTTCAAGCCTTTAAGACCCCAGACGCTATACCTTTTGATAGCTGGACACCATCAGCTTTCTTTGCTACATTTGCTATGCACCCATTTGTCTTCAGTGATCCCTTTGACACCTCATGATCACACAGGCTGATATGTTCTTCCATGTGGGTTTTGTTGCTTCTGAGCTAGATGGCCGCTTGTTTACCTTTAAGCTTTTAAGACCCCAGATGCTATATCTTTTGATAGACGGGCACCATCAGCTTTCTTTACCACATTTGCTTATTCACCCGCTTTGTCTTCAGCGGTTGTGTCGGGAAGGTGAGCATCATAGAATGGGTTGCTACATTTCACGGTGGTTTGGCTATAGAACCTGATTGCTCTTATCTACAGATAACCTCCAGGCAGAGCAGTTATAGAACCTGATTGCTCTTATCTACAGATAACCTCCAGGCAGAACAGCTATAGAACCTGATTGCTCTTATCTAAAGATAACCTCCAGGCAGAGCGAACATCCAGATACAAGAATGATTCATCTTATATGGTAGCTCCTTTATGACAGTTCCTTTACCGGGGTGGTTATTGGAGGGACTGTGCTCAGTCATGAGAGTGCATATTAAGATTTATTTATATCTCATAACCGTGAGGGTCTTCCTACTGTAGTTTGCTTTCCAGACCCGTAGTTATGAGCATGGAGGATTTAGCTACATGACCTTCTCATCCAGTCCCTCGCTTTACCACAGGCCAATGTCTTCAGTACAGCTTGAACTTTTTCCTTCCGCATCATTGGTTCTTACTCATATACTACCTTCTGAAATGGTAGAATGTCAAGTAGTTATTTTTGGGACAGTGACTCAGTATTCTTTCCATTTTTTCTTGATGCTTCCAGCATCATTCCATATTTTTCCCATAGGATCTTTCAAGATTGCAACTCAAGGATTGACTTTTTTCTTCAGTTCTTTTCCTTTAAGATATGCTGAGCATGTTCTTCCCTTTTGGTTTTATAATTCTAGCTCTTCACACATTTAATTATAGTATTTGGCTTTGCCTTTTCAAGTTGCCCTTTGAAATTTTCTATACAGCTCCTCAACTTCATCTTTTCTCTCATTTGCTTTAGTTACTCTTATGATTAACAGCAACATTCAGAGTCTCTTCTGACATCCTTTTTGGTCTTTCCTTTCTTTCCTGTTTTTTAATGATCTTTTGCTTCTTCAAGAGATCTTAGTATCTTCCCACAGCTCATCAGGTCTTCTGTCAGTAGTGTTCAAGGCATCAAATCTGTTCTTGAGATGTTCTAGAAATTCAGGTGGGATAGACTCAAGGTTGTATTTTGGCTCTTGTGAACTTCTCTTAATTGCCTTCAGCTTTATCCTGAACTTACATATGAGCAATTGATGGTCTGTTGCAGCTAGTTCCTGGCCTGGTTTTAGCTGCTGATATTGAGCATCGTCTCTTCCCAAAGTTTTAGTCAATACGATTTCTGTGTACTCCATCTGGAGCAGTACATGTGTACAGTTGCCTTTTAAGTTGTTAACAAAAGGTATTTTCTATGAAGAAGTCATTCTTGAAAAATTCTATCAAGCAATCTTTAGCTTCATTTCGATCACAAAGTTCATATTTTCCAACTACTGTTCCTTCGTTTCCAACTTTTGCATTCCAATCACCAATAATCATCAATTACATGTTTGATCATGTAATTATGTTTGATTAATTACATGTTTGATCAATTACAGACTGAAGTTGTTGGTAGAATTCTTCAATTTCTTCCTCACTAGCTTTTGTGGTTGGCGCATGAATTTGAATAATAGTTATATTGAATGGACTTCCTTGAAGGTAGATAGATATAATCCTATCACAGACAGCTTTGTAATTCATAATTGCTTTTGAAATGTCCTTTTTGACAATACATGCCATGCCATCCTTTTAATTGTGTTATTCCTGACAAAGTTAATCAAATGGTTTTATGATTAAAAATGGCCAATGCCAGTCCATTTAAGGTCTCTAATGCCTAGAATATCAATCTTTATACCTTCCATTTAATTTTTGACCACTTCCAATTTTCTTAATTCATAATTTATACATTCCAAGTTCTGATAATTAACACATTTTTGCAGTTGTTTCTTGTTACTTTGAGTCATTTTCCATCAGCAATTGAAGATCTTGAAGGTTCCACTCTCACAGGCTTTTCCCAACTCACATCACCATGGTGCACCCCACTCGGAGAAATCAGCTATTCCTCATCATATTTCAAGTACCGTCTGACCCAAGTAGCCTGTTCTCCAGCATTATCTCCAATAATGTTCTCCTTTCATTGATTAGGCATTAAGTATCTAACAATGTTTCTAAGGTAGGCATAAGGTTTTCAGTGGCTACTTCCTCCAAAGTGGGAGTGGAGGCCTTCTTTTTTGTCTGTTCTTAGTCTGGAAGCTCTGCTGAAACCTGTTCACTTTGGGTGACCCTGTTGACTTTGAAATACCAGTGACAAGCAAAATATGGATAAACATGAGAAAAATGCAAATTCCAGAACACTTGGAAAGATGAAGGGAAAGATGAAGCCAGGCTAGAGGCAGAGAGGTATTAACTTGAGTAAAGGGGAAGACATAAGGACAAAAGGCTAATGGAAAGACAGAGTATAACATTGGGAGGTTTGATGAGTTATTAAAGTAAAAATGATGATGTGCTCTGTAAATGATCACACAATTCACAAAAAAATAAGATAACAGAATTTTTCCATGAATGTTTCAAAGAGGCTTCATATAATAAAAAGTTGGTTGATGCCTTTTCATGACCTCATTTTTAATTCGATGACCTCAAACTGCGTGGGAAAGGCTCACCCTGGGATGCCTGTAGGGGCTTCCTGTTCAGATAGCTCAATCAGGTGTTGTCCTTACCAATGAGATTGACTTCTGCAGCAAGGTCATAATAGTATGAGAATGCATAGAAATCCACATGCTTCACTTCCTCTGTCTTGTGCACTTTGTTTCGAAGGATTTCTGACACTCTGTTGGCACATAGCTTGTAGGAGTTGGCTGCTGGCAGAGGATAAGCACAATGTCAGGGTTAGGAGGTCCTGAATGCTCGGTCCTGCAGAGGCACTCAAGAACTAGACTTAGTCAACCAGGCAGAAGGACCCAAATGGGGTCTGTTTACTAGATCCACATACACTTCTACAGGACCCTTTTGGGACTACCTCCAGTGTGCTGCACTACCTCAACTAGCCAAAAGGACTCCAGGCAAATTCTGAACATTTTGCTGTTGTTAGGTGCCATCAAGTTGATTCCAACCCATAGCAACCGATGCACAACAGAACAAGCCACTGCCCTATCCTGTTCCATCCTCACAATTGTTCCTGTGCTTGAGCCCATTGTTGCAGCCACAGTGTCAGTCCATCCCCTTGAGGACCTTCCTCGGTTGTGCTGCCCCTCTACTTTACCAACATGATTTCTTTCTCCAGGGACTAGTCTCTCCTGACAACATGGGCTAAGTATGTAAGATGTAGTTTGCCATCCTTACCCCTAAGGTGCATTCTGGCCATACTTCTTTCAACCCTGGCCTGCTTGAATGAGCACGCCCTGTTTGATCTTCATTAAACCTTGAACATGAGGTATCCATCCTCTCTGTCACAGAGAGGAGGAAACGGAGACCTAAGGAAGCCCTAACCAGCAACATTCTGAGCTCACAATGGTGGCTCAGAAGGAGGAATCAACAACAATCCTGGGGCTCAGGGGTTGCCTTTGGCATCTGGCAGCACTTCCACTCATCTCATTTCAACCTGTTGTACCTTGCTCAAGCCTGCCACATGCAGTTTCTCCATCTGGCCCTGTGACACGCCATCCTTCACAACTCGGATCTAAACTGTCAGCAGACCATAACCAGCATCCATCACTTCTCTTTGCTTCCATTGATCCCTCTACCAGCTTGGTCTCCACTCTCCATTTCTATCCAGAGACGGTTTCCCATTTCTCCCTAGTAGTGCTGAGCTATAATCCTGCCCTTGGATTCATTTATTTCCACTCTCCCTGTCAGGCTAGTCACACTTGTTTCTTAAACACAGGAAATGCCCCAGGGCCTTTGCAGATGCCCCCAACATCCCAGAACTACTGCTGTAGATTGAAACTCATTCTCCATCAGGCATATTCCCTGACCTTGTCTCCTTTTGATTCAAGTATAGTCATATGAGGCCTGTCTTTCTCCTCAGGACTCCCTTGCTCTTTCCCGATTTCCTTTTTCTTCAAAGCATTTCTATTATTTTATTGTCCAACACCTCCCACTACTATGTCAGCTCCATATAGGAGTTGTCTGTATCATCCACTGCTGATTTCCCAAAGGCTGGAATACACACAAGAACCCCTTCTTGGGACAGGGCTATAGACAAGACAGACATGTTACATATCTGTAGATGCAGCTAGGGAACAAGATTTCCGTATTTCCTTCAGAAGCAACTGAATGGGCATAGGGCACCCAATGTGGCCAGGATGAGGGTGAGCCTATAAAAGCCCTGCCATCAGGCAGTACAAGGGAAGCAGAATCCCTTCTAAAGGAAGGGGCCAGGTCTCTCCCTGTGTTCCCGTCAGGCTCCTTGGTGAGCTCCTGGGCCAACAGCTCAGATGTGGCTGTTTCTCTCAGCTTGACACACTTGGTTTGTCCTCTCTAAAGATTTGTTAGGAAACTCAACCTGTGTGAAAACGGTGCTTGGTAACACAAACGGGGGTGGAGTGACTCCCTGTGGAGCAGCCCCCAGTGTTATTCTGGTATAGGTCAGGGGATCCAACAAGGACTAGGCCTACCCCACTCATGTCTGAGAGACTTACCAAAAGTTATCTCTTCTCCCAGGCCAGGTTCTGGGGGCAGGGGGCACTGACCCCCTCAACCTTATAAACGCTGGTGAACAAGCCACCTACCTGCCTTCTCTCCAGAAATTTTGTATGTAACCTCAGCATGCTCCCATTCTCCTTTGAAGCCAGCAGGCAGACAGGGGCTGACCAGCTCTTTTCCATCCTTAGCTGAAATAGAGGGGTTGGCATAAAGGCAAGTGACAACACCAGACTCAGGCTCACAGGTCCCTGAGATGGATACTGGGGACACAGATGACTGTGAGTTCAGAATTCAGACATTGCGACATCTAAATCAATTGTAGACGAGATCTAGTGGAGGAGCACTAAAGTGTCCAGCCCTGGCTACAGCAGTCCTGACTGGAGTCGAGGGGCCACAGACAGCACCAACACAGATGCGCAGCAGAATCCAGGGATCAAAGGTCATAAAGTGACTTCAGTTTGCAGTTTAAACCATGAAGTTTAGAGTGATTTGCTCTGAAACACTAGAGAATGAACAGGGAGGCTTGTCTTCTTACGCAGAGAGCTGTTCATAGTCCTTGTAGTCCTTTCAGGTATGGCTTGACAGGAAAGCACATCCCTGCTACTCTTAGGGAAGGGAGTTTCCTATGTCAGTCAACCTGACCACTTAGACTAAAGGAGAGTTGTTGTGGGGTCTTGGAGTTAGGGTTGTTTGGTTAGAAAACCAACAAGCAGTATACATGCTTGGCATATCTTAAACTAAAAGAACACAAGAAAAAATTCAAGCCTCAAGTTGCAATATTGAAAGATTTTATGGGCAAAATATTGAATGATGCAAGAAGCATCAAAAGAAGTTGGAAAGAATACACAGAATCACTATACCAAAAAGAATTAGCTGACATTCAACCATTTCAGGAGGTAGTATATGAGCAAGAAACAATGAAGGAAGAAGTTCAAGCTGCACTGAAAACATTAGCCAAAAACAAGGCTCCAGGAATTGATGGAATACCAATTAAATGTTTCAACAAGCTATTGAAGCACTGGAAGCACTCATCTATGCCAGGGAATTTGGAAGACAGTTACTTGGCCAACTGACTGGAAGAGATCCATAGTTGTACCCATTCCAAAGAAAGGTGACCCAACAGATAGTCAAATTACAGAACAATATCATTGATGTCACACGCAAGTAAAATTTTGCTGAGGATCATCCAACAATGGTTGCAGCAGGACATTAACAGGGGGCTGTCAGATATTCAGAACAGATTCAGAAGAGGACATGGAACAAGGGATATCATTGCTGATGTCAACTGGATCGTGGCTGAAAGCAAAGAATACCAGAAAGATGTTTACTTGTGTTTCATTGACTATGCAAAGGCATTTGACTGTGGATCATAACAAACTGTGGAATGCCTTGAGAAGAATGGGACTCTCAGAACACTTCACTGTGCTCATGTGAACTTGCACATGGATCAAGAGGCAGCTCTGTGAACAGAACAAGGGGACACTGCATGGTTTGAAATCAGGAAAGGCATGCATCCGGGTTGTATTCTCTTATCATACTTAGTCAACCTGTATGGTGAGCAAATCATCGGAGAAACTGGCTGATATGCAGAAGAATGTGACATCAGGATTTGAGGAAGGCTTATTAACAACCTACCATATGTGATGACATAACCTTCCTTGCTGAAAGTGAGAGGCCTGGAAGCACCTGCTGATGAAGATTAAGGATTGCAGCCTTCAGTATGGATCACATCTCAATGTAAGGAAGTCCAAAATCCTCACAACTGGACCAAGAGGTAACATGCTAAATGGAGAAAAATTGAAATTGTCAATGGTTTTATCTGGCTTTGATCCATAATCAATGTTCATGGGAGCAGCAATCAAAGCAATCAAAAGAGGCATGGCATTACGTAAATCTGCTGCACAAGACTGCTTTAAAGTGTTGAGAGCAAGGATGTTACCTTAGGACTAAGTGTGCCTGACTCAAGCCATCGCATTTTCAATGGCCTAATATGCATGTGAAAGTTGAACAATGCAAAAGGAAGACTGAAGAAGATTCGATGCATTTGAATTGTGCTGCTGGCAAAAAAATATTGAAAGTACCATGAACTGCCAAAAGGACAAACAAATCTGTCTAGGAAGATAGATGTATGGTCAGAATGCTCCTTAGAGGCAAGAGAGCAAGACTTTGTCTTACAAACTTTGGACATCTTGTCAAGAGAGAGCAATCCCTGGAGGAGGGCATCATGCTTGGTAAAGCAGAGGGGCAGCAAAAAAGAGGAAGCTTCTCAAAGAGATGATGGACACTGTGGTTGCAACGATGGGCTCAAGCATCCGAACAACAGCGAGGAGGGTGCGGGACCGGGCAGTGTTTGGTTCTGTTGTGGACAGCTTCGCTATGGGAATCAACTCAATGGCACCTCATGACAACAAAAGAGCTAGGGTCGTCGTGCCAGACTTAGAGTGCATCCCTCTGCAGGAGCAAGTTACCGCATCTTTGGGAGGTTCTACAAGTAAGATCTTCTACAAAAGTCACCTGGGGGCTTAACCCAAGAACAGATTTTTTTTTCCTCAGTGAGGTCCATCCAGAAGGGCCCAACTACTCTGTAACAACCTCACCAGGCACTACTCCACCCAAGTCACATTAAGGGCAGGGTGGCTGCATGCTCCTTCATACAGTAAGAACTGATGACAAAGTCCTCTTGGGAACCTGTCCTGTTGTGAAGAAGAACCTCACACACAAGTTAATTCCAATACAGGTAGCTACTGAACCTTGTTACTTAGGCTCCTAATACCCTCGTGCACAGGGTTTCAAAAATGTCTCCAGGGCAGGGCTCATCCTCCTGCTGACAGTGAAAGCTGACGTCATGAGCATGGCCTCTCCACATATCCAACACTTACCAGGCTGGCCTTCCACACCTCCCAAGAGCAAGAGTCGGGCCGACATCAGTCCAAGCCCCAGGTAGCTGTGGGAACAAAGGAGTGTGAAGGAAGGTTTCCTGTTTTGATCTCTTCTTCAATAATTTATCTGGCCTGAGACCCGAGTAAGCGGGAAAAGGAGGGTGCTTGTATGCTCAGGACAAGGTACTTATCAAGCCTTCCTGTTTCTTTGTAGGGTTGAAGGAATTAAACTAATGATTTCACCAGATGGGGACGGGTTGTGGAACAGAAGCTCAGCTAGGAGCTGGGACACTACAGAAAGTAAAATAGACATGGCCTCTTCTGTATGGGGCTTGCACCTTCATGGGAAAAAATATGCAAGGTGCTGTGTATAAAAGAGATAGTTCTAAAAAAAAAAAAAAGGAACTGATACCAAGGGCTCAACTGAAACTAGATGTTTAGAAAAGAATGAAGGCAACATATGTACAAATTTGCCTGATGCAAGTGATGTGTAGATTGTAACAAGAGTTCTAAAAGTATCCAATAAGATGCTCTTTTAATTAAGAAAAATAAATGAGATAGTCCAGAAAATTCTATGGGTAGGGCATGACCCGCATGACCCCCACCTGCCCTCCCAAAACAGAAGAGAATAAGCATGAATGAAAACCAAGCAAATAAAAACTAGCGTTACTCTGAGCAAAGAAATAAGGTGAAGGAAGGAAGAGAACCAAAGAGAATGGACACAAAGGAAGGAGGGAGCAGAAGAAGGGCGGGAAAGAGGAGGAGGAAGGAAGGGGGAGGAGTGAAGATAGGAAAGGGGCATGAAGAAGGAGGAAGAAGGAAAGGGAGGGAGGGATGAAGGAGAAGAGAGGGAGTGGGAGGGGGAAGTAGCGCCCTAAGGCCTAGAAGGGCCTGGGAGGGAGAACCTGAG